GGAGAGGAAAAGCTCAAGGTAAGGATTCTTCTTTATCATATTTGATCTCTTAAATAAGACAAGGCGCCGAACAACATGTTGTTGGGAAGATAAGGAAGATGTCCACCAGTAGCATGCTTGATGTGTTTTTATACCATAGAAACAATTATGAGGGTGGTTTCGCTCAAATGACTTCACATCTACATGCATGTCTAGCTTAACTAGCATATGGATTTTATTTATTTTTGTTACATACTTGATATGATTGTACAGGAATTTATAAACTTTACGCTTCATTATATTGCTGACTTGGATATCCCAATAAAAAGGTAATTACACTGGTGGCAAGCACATCGACTTTCATGGAAGTGAACTCCTACTCTCTTTTCCTGTTTATCACTCGAGCTGAATAAAACCGTCTATCACCATTTATTTTACTAGGGGAACATTTATAGAATTCCGAAGTGGGATGATCAATGTCTCACCAATTGGGAGGAACTGCAGCCAAGAAGAAAGGGATGAATTTGAAAAGTACGACAAGGTAGGAAAGTTGTCTTCTAGCAAAAAGATTGTTGGTAATTTATCTTTTTCTACTGTAGTCACGTTTGATTTAGTTTAATGGTAACCTCATATACAAAATGTGCTTTCAGGTTCACAACGTACGCCCAAAAATGGTGGCTGTGCTCCGGGAGAAGTTTGCCCACCTTAACCTGACATTTTCAATTGGAGGACAAATAAGCTTTGATGTGAGTGATATTATGTGCTTGTACATTTGAGATCTTTATGTTCTTGGTCCATTTAAATATAAAGCTATCTACTGTTTTCGTATGTACACGAGCTTGTGAGAGAGAGTGATACCAAGTGGAAGTATTATCATTGAGTTCTCTTGTTGGATGATATCTGTAACAGGTTTTCCCACAAGGTTGGGACAAGACATACTGCTTGAGATACCTTGATGATTTTTCTGAAATCCACTTTTTTGGTGACAAAACTTACAAGGTCAGCTCTCGCATCACCTTTTGGTATTAACTAATTTCGCATTCTATACCGGGATTGATTGGAAAAATGGGCATTTTGCTTGAGCAGGGAGGGAATGATCATGAAATTTACGAATCAGAAAGAACTGTAGGCCACACAGGTCAGTTTTACTTTTGAATTAGCTATAGGCCTTTTGTATATGCCATAGTAAATTTATATTTTCAATAGCTTTTAGATATTTTACACCAGACTTATTTCATCATAAAATTGTTGCAACGGTTATTATTTTTTGCAGTTACGAGTCCTGAAGATACAATGCAGCAGTGCAAAGCTCTGTTCTTGGCAAACCCATGAGATGTCTTGAACACTTTTGCTGTGAATTATTATATTATTCATTGGAGATACATTTTTCAAGTACCTGAAAGTGAATGTGTAGAACAGGAATTCCTACTCAAGGATGTATTTGCAGATACGCAAAATTATTGAACAAACTTTTTGTCTATGTTTGAAATAATACAGTTGTACCACATCCAATTAGACTAAAATCGAGTTTTCTTTGTTCCGACACGGTATAATCTTGTGAATGTTTTTGTTTCTAGCTAATTGTTTTTAACTCGGATTGATAGATCGGAGGCAATCTTTGAGTTTTGAACTAAAGAAAGTGTGGAAGAAGCGAAAACGAAAGGGATAATAATAACTTCGATTATCGCCCAATATTGAATGGTAGGATGATGTATGAACTTGAATAGTTTATATGCGCTGAAGTATATCTGGATGTGGGAGGGTGGTATGTATATATAGTCATAAGAGTCTTCAGCCAAGTTCAGATTAGTAAAAGAGTAAATCACCATATCTTCC